CCCTATCTGTTACTGTACTTAAAACTTGTGTCAAACAGGGAATGTAAAAAGTGAACACAATCTAATATTTATCATAACATTAGACACATAAATATGACCAGCTTGCAGCAACACATAAAAGGCACAATAACAATGTACTGCCAGAAAAACAAAATATAGGATCATTTCTCACTGTGTTTTTATATGCAAAAAAAAACATGATGTTGTTATGGTATATTTTCAAAACAAATTTCATAGACACATCAAATGAGAACAACATGATTATGAAATAACATTGTCTAATGAAATGATTGTCAAAATCTGATCCGAACAATAACAATATATATACATAAACAAATCAGTTGATAAAATGATATGTAATGTCAATGTATGAATGCTAGCCTGCAACCTTATTGCTAATATTTTGATTTTGGGCTTTACGTCACACCAACATAGTATAGGTCATATGAAATGTTTCCAACTTTACTGATGGAGGAAGACCTCTGGTGCCCTTTTCTGCATTTTTTCAGGCATGAACAGGCATTTAAGTAGAACCACAGTAAGCTGGCTGGAAAGTTTTCAAACAAAGAATGCAAAAGCCCTGTCTGGATTCAAGCCAACAGCTGTGAGGGGCAAGTGGTTAACAACCTTAACCACTCGGCCATGGACACACCTAGAACCTTTTAGATATTATTATTACTGCGCCCCCAAGGATTAAACAACCATGGATTACAATTTATTCTCCATACAGACAGGTGCAATAAGTTAATATAAAAGAAAAAGGCTATAAACTTATCAACAAGAGATATGTATGGTGATAACCATAGCCTTTCAATATATTTTAATGTAAATTAGCCGCGTCATGACAAAAGCAACATAATGGGTTTGCGACCAGCATGGATCCTGCGCAGTCTGATCAGGATCCATGCTTTTTGCTATCAGTTTCTCTACTTGTTATAGAGTTTGTAAGGGAATAGCATGGGTCCTGATCAGACTGCGTTGATGCGCAGGCTGGTTTTGATCCATGCTGGTCACAAACCAACTATGTTGGTTTTGTCATGATGCGGCTCAAATGTAGCTGACTGTTTAATGTAGACCTACAAAACAATTATAATGTTGTCAAAAACAAAAAAGATGTTATCATATTTCAGACATTTAAATTGTTTACAGTACGACATTGAAAATGAGTATTAAAACTAACAACCTTTTTTTAAAATCTTGTGATAGAAATGCATTCAATTATTTCCATGTTCAATGAATTGATGATGATTATGTTTCAAATTGTGAATCTTGATGATGAAAAGATGATGATGACAACTAATATTTGAAATATAAAAAACAATGATGATGATAGAAATGATGACGATTATGATGATAATGATTATGATATACAAAATGATTATCTTAAAAATATGGTGATGAATATAATATTGAGCAATATAAATACAACAAATGGACTAGATTAGATAAAATTAGATACAACAACATATCACAAAACATAATTAAAACATTTAGCTGCACTTACATACAAAAATATCTTCTTCTCTGAAACACTTATTCATATAGAATTTAACACATCAACAAAATTAACTACAAAAATGCCTCTATAAATATTTTGAAACAAAAAATATGTTAATTTTCGATCACTATACCCCAAAGGGAATTATTCCACACAAAAAAGACCCAGCTTTTCCTTATTTCTATTATTTGATTTTAATTAAAATCAAAATATCTTAGTGCTTTTTGTTGTTGTTTTTTTTTTGTTGTTGTTGTTTTTTAGGAAGTTGTTGCTTAGCTACAATTAAAATTTTAGTAAAAAGGTCTAAAACGTAAGTTTGTAGACACATTAATTTAAAAAAAAATCTCTAGCCAACCAGCTGCACAGAGATTTCAACACTTGTATTAAATGGATATGAACAAAATGGACAACAGATGATGAAAAGTTACAAAAAAAAACAACAAAGCCTTCAGAAAAAAAGTTCTATAAAAAATATATTCTTCAAAAAAAAAGTCTGATTTGATAAATAGTATTTTTCATAACTCTTTTAAACTCAATGTAATTTAATACAATACAGAATCCTCTAGAACCTTGTTTCCTTGTGTGTGATTATCAAATATTCATAACCTTAAATTTTCTGTATATTTCAATTCTTATTTGAGATAGAGAAATTTGAGATAGAGAAATTTGAGATAGAGAATGTAAAATCTATCATTGTGAGATTATTCATTATTGTTTTTAACTGTCTAATTATATAAAGCTTTTATTAAGAATAGAACCATCAATAAATTATGCAACAAATATCTCAATTAATGACACAGACAGATTGAATAAACTGTTTCATTGGGTAATAAAACTAACTTTATTTAGGACTTCAAGAACATGCTGAGAAAGTAGATTGACACTTTTTATATTTAGCACTGTTATTTCAATTTTGCCACACTGCAAAATGTTTTCCTCTTTATTGATGTAACATCTTTAATAATTGAGAGACCATAAGTTTTTTTGTCATGCTCGGAGTGGCAACTTCCTGGCACAGGCAACCTTGTGTGCCCAGGCATCCAGACAAACATGCCGAACTTCTTCCCACGTTTGTTGCCTACAAATGCTCCAAGATCTGAAATGCAAGTAAATTTTCATTTTATTTATTGATTATCTTTTTCGTGAGATTGAAAATCTAAATGTATTAAAAAACTTTTGTAGAAATTTTCAGTTTTCATGTCATTTTGGCAACTTGCCGGGTTTTTTTCAATGTAATGGGTGCTTCTTACAGACTGACAAAATTTCAACTTATGCAATGTTACTTGAAAGACTTTTTTTGGACACCTGAAAGTTTGTACAAGACTTTCATCAAGCCAAATATATTTCAAACCTAAATTTAAAACTGACTAATCAAATTGCTTTTTTTTTAACTAGTGTTCAAACATTCAGTGGTCTATGGCTGAATGCTACTTGACAACTATAACTCTTTATGTAACAAGAATATTAGTAAATAATTGATTCTCCAAGCCTTTGATTTGACAATATTACAAGCACGGCCTGTTAGAAAAAAAAGGAGGAAGATTTATTTTTACCCTTAGTGACCTTGACCCAATAAATATGGAAGCCCTTTCATGTGGTGGGATATTGCCCAACACCCAATTTATACAGATGCTATGAGAAATGGTAATTATGAAGAATGGGAGAGTAAACAAGAGCTGTCAGAAGGACAGCGCGCTCGACTTTTTTAGTGCTTGCCTATAAAACAAAACTTTGACAGTTAAGGGCACACAAGACTTTAACTAGGAATTTCTAAGTACAAATCAAGAAACATTTTCACAGAGTTATCTTCTCTTGCTTACAGATAGGTCTCATGATGGCACATAAGAACTCCAACTTCCAAAGTAATATCTCAAATGGTTAGGTCAACAAGTGGACAAGAATGAAAATTTTAACTGAGTTTCTAAGTCAAAAAGGGCCATAATTCAAATAAAATCCTTAACAGAATTACCTTCTCCTGCCCATGTTTGGGACCATGATGGTAAACAAGTATTCCAACTTTCAATTTAATATCTCAACCAGTTCAGTCAAAAAGTTGACTGGTACAAAAAACTTAACCAAGATTCTAAGTCGATAAAAGGCCTTAATTTTTAAAACAAATCCCTGACAGAGTTACCTTCTCTTGCGTACAGATGGGGGTAATGATGTGAAATAGCATTAAAAGTTTCAAAGCAATATCTCAAAGGGTTAAGGCAATAAGTGGATTTTACCCATATTCAATGTATTTTCTAAGTCAAAAAGGGGCATAATTCTGTCAAAAACCTTGACAGAGTTATGTCCTCTTGTCTGTTGATGAAGGTCGTGATGGTAAACAAGTATGGTCAGTTTCAAAGCAATACCTCCAATGGTTTTGAAATAAAGTGAGGTGGTACAAAAAACTTAACCAAGCTCAATACACTTTCTAAGTCAAAAAAGGGCCATAATTCTGTCAAAAACCTTGACAGAGTTATGTACTCTTGTCTGTAGATGGAGGTTATGATGGTGAACAAGTATGGTAAGTTTCAAAGCCATACTTGTAATACTTCTGAAATAAAGTGGGGTGGTACGAAAAACTTAACCAAGGTGTGACGCCAACGCTAACGCCGACGCCGACGCCGACGCCGGGGCGAGTAGGATAGCTCCCCTTTTCATAGAAAAGTCGAGCTAAAAAAATCAGTTACTAAAAGCTACATAGTTTGGTGAAAAAAACTAAATATGAAATTTATAATAAACTGCTGCCCCATGATAACACTAATCTCAGTATAACCCTCATAGACCTTGGCCTCCCCCCCCCCCCAAAAAAAAAATAAAATATAATATTGTATCTTATACAGATTATATTTTTTTTTCATGTAGATTTATAAATCACCATATCCGCTATAATGCTTGTTCAATGTGACAGTCAAGTACAATAAACAATTAGGACACTTATGAACGCTGAAGTATAAATACCTTTGCCTTGTTGTACAAGTTTGTTCTTCACTTCCATCATTAGATTGTAGCACTCCTTGGGGACCTTTATTTGCTCAACGATAGGGATAAGGGGGTATCCACGCCAAAAAAACACAATTTGGCTTTCTCCTTTTGTACTCCGTTTTGGTGCCTTCCTCTATAAAGAAATTCTTGAATGGCATATCTTTTTAACACTGTGGCAAAGTTTCGCCTATTTTAAAAAAAAGGGAACAAACATTAATGGACTTTCTGTAAGCCAACACAACAGATCTTTCTGTATTACCATTACTGAGTAACTTACAGTAGTGAATACATTTATAAAGAAATATTTTCAAAATTATATATTACTAATTATAACTGGAAGGCAACACCATTGCAAAGTGACAATGTTCTTAGAAAGAAAACCTCTTTTCAAAAAGTTATGAAACCTAATACCTGTTTAGAAAAGTTTATACATCAACTGGGTTCACTTAAACCAAAAACAAGCCGAAATTTTTTACAGTATTCCCTTATGACCTTCAAACACATTAAATTAGTACAAGATTCTTTCAATAATCTACTTAGATCACTTACTTAATGTATTCCCCGTTGGGATCCATCTTTCGGCCATATCTCACAGGACAAAAGCATTTAGGACAGCTAAGCACTTTCTCGAAGGCGGAGCTTGACATCCACATCCAGTTACCAGAGCAAACTGACCAATCAGCATCAAGAAGGTACTTGTCAAACACCTGAAAATAAAATAATCATTCAATTATCATTGAATCATTTTACAGTTTTTGGAAAAAATATGTAGTCTAAATAAAGCTAACGGTCACTTCAAAGTAGTGGTCACTTGCCAAAAAGTGAAAAACAATTAAGTTGTTTCCATCCTGATAAAAATCCCTAGATATAAATAGCCAAGAAAAGCTGTCTGCACCCTGCAGCCTCTAGAAAAGTCTTTCCTGTGGCCATTTTGAACCAAAACAATGGTCAGTTTCACCTTCTTTACAATACATCAAACAAAAGGTGTGAAATTACAAAAAACACCATGTTGCGCATCATTAATTACCGTTGATTGTTTAGACACCTTGATTGTAACACATCGAAAATGACCTTTATAACTTTATAACTTGTCCCTTTTAATTAATAAGACACTTGCTTGTGTGAAAATAAATTCACATTTAGCACTACTTTCTTCAGGTGATAAGCTTTTAACATGCTCTTGAACCATTACTTATACCTTTTAATTTAAAACATATGTTTGACCTTTCAAAATAGGAAAAAAAAATTTGTTTCTGAGGCATAATTTGCCTTAAAAAGTATTTGTCATGACAAAACTAACATAACGGGTTTGCGACCAGCATGGATCCAGACCAGCCTGCGCATCCGCGCAGTCTGATCAGGATCCATGCTGTTCGCTATCAGTTTCTCTACTTGTAATAGGGTTGGTAAGCAAACAGCATGGATCCTGATCAGACTGCGCGGATGCAAAGGCTGGTCTTGATCCATGCTGGTCGCAAACGCACTATGTTGGTTTTGTCATGACTCGGCTCAATTACTTCTGCCCCGAATATTTACCTTCAGTCCATCTTCCCAACTTATCCAGAGATCACCTCTTGTGAGGAATGTTGACACAGCGTGTCTTGCCACATGATGAATCCATCCTTCATGCTTCAGTTGTTTCATGATGGCATCAATCCAAGGATACCCTGTCTCACCCTGAATAATACACACAAAACATTTAGTGGTGGCTGAGTGGTGAACCCATCAAACTGGTAGTTAAAGAATTGCCTGCCGCATGGGTTCAAACCATGTCAGATGCATGCAGTTGTTTTCTTAAGCACTTATGGCTTAGTACCAATTGGTTCCAGGAACAGATTTATGAACATGTCTTAAAGCTTTAGCTTTCTACACAACCATACTTAAAATTCAGTATAAGCTAACACAAGCTAACTGGTTCAGTCCAAATTCTTTATCAAAGTTAATATCTTGGTAAGTAAAACCGTTAACTTTTACAAAGTCCAAGATTCAACTCATTGTAAGGCTAACACACATTTTATTTGGTTTGGTTATACTGACTGCTTTAAAATGAATGATACTTATACAGGGATTTACAATGATCAAACTTCTTAAAAGGGGGAGCGGTGGCCTAGTGGTTAATCCCTCTCAACCGGGATCATTGGTTCGAGCCCTACTCGGGTCATGACCATGTTTCTTCATATGACACCAGTACTGGTTGGTTCAAGGAAGCAGACTCGAAAGAGATAAATATAAGTTGCAAGAACTTGTTTCACAATCAAGCTTTAAAAAATATGTTTAAACCAATGATCAAACTTCCCAGATTTGAATCTTGAACAGTTTACAGGCCTCTTTTTCAGTATTTTGGGAAAGCCACCAATACTGTTTGAGTTGTCAAGTTTAAGAAAGCACAACAACTTACATCTTCCCATTTCTTGAGTTTTTCTTCATCTTTGTACCATGGGATATTCAGACATATAGGGTTGTCTGCCATTTTGTTATAATTAATGTTGTTGACGGACATCGTGTAGAAATATTCCCGCCACATCACTTGACCTACCACTGACACTGTGAAAGGTCTATCAGCGTTGATCTAAAATGAAAAAAAGATATAATTCTGGTATGTTTAACTTTTATCTTTTAATTTAATCTAGCCGTTAACAAAACTTTGAAAAGTGATAACTACAATCTATCAGCATAGATCTTGGTTGGACCATATAGCTCATTTGCTTGTCTTTTTATAAGTAGCAAAGGTTTATAATGTTTGGTTCCAGGTTTTAAAAAGATGACTTTCTACTTGTCATCTTAAAAAAGAGCCAATAAGAGCTTGGTGTGAACAAAATGCATACAGAATTCTTGCTTGCAACAAAAGCATTTCATTTTGATACAAGCTATTCAAATCTGGGTGCACCATGAATCTCATAAGGAATTCATAAGGTTTGTATCAGAACAGTGTTACTTGGGGAAATAATCCTGTCGCCAAAGTAATTGTTGGGGAAATAATACTGTAGTCAAAGTAATAACATTATAGGAAATGGCTTAAACAGCTTATGGCAGAGTGAGCACTGGATATGGTAGCATATGTTTAAAACCAAGACTTGGTTACACCAAGCAAAGTTTTGTTCATGATGACATCCATACATTCTAGCTAACAGGTACAATGCATGTAAGATAAGGAAAAACAAGAGGGCCATGATGGCCCTAAGGTCGCTCACCTGTATGTAGGCCCCCGGAGCGGGGCCAGTTTAAACCCCAGGGCTTTTATTTGAACAAACTTGGAAGACACCTATAAGAAGACGTTTCATGATGTACACACTTATAATGAAAAACAATGATCTGCCCTCCCCTACCCCCGGCAGGGCCAATTTTAACCAAGGGCTTTTATTTGAACAAACTTTGTAGACACCCATTAGAACAAGTTTCAATGCTAAACATCTAAGCTGTAGCTCATTGTGTTTTTTTAAAGAAGATTTTTTAAGTTTTTACTATACACATATAGTTAAAAACAATGACACCCCTGGGGCGGGGCCAGTTTTGACCCCAGGGCTTTTATTTGAACAAACTTTGTAGACACTTACTAGAACATGTTTCATGCTTAATATCTAAACTCTAGCTATTTGGGTTTTTTCAAAGATGTTTTTTAAGTTTTTCCTATACACATTTAAGGAAAATCAATGACCCCCGGGGCAGGGCCAATTTTGACCCCAGGGCTTTTATTTGAACAAACTTTGTAGACACTCACTAGAAGATGTTTCATGCTTAATATCTTAACTCTAGCTATTTAGATTTTTTCAAAGAATTAAGTTTTTGCTATACACATAGATAAGGAAAATCAATGACCCCCTGGGGCGGGGCCAATTTTGACCCCAGGGCTCTTATTTGAACAAACTTGGTAGACACCCATTAGAACATGTTTCATGCTAAATATCTTAGCTCTAGCTCTTTGAGTTCTTTAAAAGAAGATTTTTTAAGTTTTTACTATATACATATAGGGAAAATCAATGACCTCCTGGGGCGGGGCCAATTTTGACCCCAGGGCTTTTATTTGAACAAACTTGGTAGACACCCATTAGAATATGTTTCATGCTAAATATCTTAGCTCTAGCTCTTTCAGTTCTTTAAAAGAAGATTTTTTAAGTTTTTACTATATACATATAAGGAAAATCAATGACCCCCATGGGCGGGGCAATTTTGACCCAAGGGCTTTTATTTGAACAAACTTGGTAGACACCCATTAGAAAATGTTTCATGCTAAATATCTTAGCTCTAGCTCCATGAGTTCTTTAAAAGAAGATTTTTAAAATTTTACTATATGCATATAGGGAAAATCAATGACCCCCTGGGGCGGGGCCAATTTTGACCCCAGGGCTTTTATTTGTACAATCTTGGTAGACACTCACTAGAAGATGTTTCATGCCAAATATCTAAGCTCTAGCTCTTTGGGTTCTTTAAAAGGAGATTTTTTAAGTTTTTACTATATGCATATCGGGAAAATCAATGACCCCCTGGGGCAGGGCCAATTTTGACCCCAGGGCTTTTATTTGAACAAACTTCGTAGACACTCGTTAGAAGATGTTTCATGCTAAATATCTTAGCTCTAGCTCTTTGGGTTCTTTAAAAGAAGATTTTTTAAGTTTTTACTATATGCATATAGGGAAAATCAATGACCCCCTGGGGCGGGGCCAATTTTGACCCCAGGGCTTTTATTTGAACAAACTTGATAGACACCTATTAGAACATGTTTGATGCTCAATATCTTAGCCATAGCTCTTTGAGTTCTTTAAAAGAAGATTTTTTAAGTTTTTACTATATGCATATAGGGAAAATCAATGACCCCCTGGGGCGGGGCCAATTTTGACCCCAGGGCTTTTATTTGAACAAACTTGGTAGACACCCATTAGAACATGTTTCATGCTAAATATCTTAGCTCTAGCTCTTTGGGTTCTTTAAAAGAAGATTTTTTAAGTTTTTACTATATGCATATAGGGAAAATCAATGACCCCCCGGGGCGGGGCCAATTTTGACCCCAGGGCTTTTATTTGAACAAACTTGGTAGACACTCACTAGAAGATGTTTCATGCAAAATATCTAAGCTCTAGCTCTTATGGTTTTTTAAAAGAAGATATTTAAAGTTTTTTCTTTCGGTTGCCATGGCAACCAGAGTTCTGCATGGAATTAAATTCTTTGAACAATTTTTAAAGGTGACCACCAAAGGAACATTCCTGTGAAGTTTGGATGAAATTGGCTTAGTGGTTTATGAGGAGATGTCATTTAAAGTAAAAGTTTACGGACAGACGGACGGACGGACGGACGGACGACGGACGGACGCCGGACGAAAAGCGATCACAAAAGCTCACCCTGTCACTTTGTGACAGGTGAGCTAACAAGAGCTGTCATTAAGGTGTGCTTGACTATTCTCAGTGCTTGATAGTTAAACAAGAGCCTAAATGATGCAAAATTTTCTAACTTAAAAACAAAAGGGTCATAATTCTGTCAAAATCCATATTGGAGATATAGGCTTTGATCAGTGACCTCCTATTATGCTCTCAAATAAGCATGTGAAGTTTCAACCAATTTCCTTTGTAGTTTTAGAGATACCAACTTGCATGCAAAAACTTTACCATAGCGTGATGCACCAGCCTATTCCTGGTGAGTACAGAAGCGTTCCCAATTCTTCAAATAGTCAAGCTAACTAAAACTCAAATACTTACTTTTGTAAAGGCATCTCTGAGGGCCCAGTACAGTTTACGAATGGACAGGCAGCCAAACCTCAGGTGAGCGCTCATACTGAGTGGAGGGCCTAAAAGATCGGGATAACTCTGGTTGGGCATTACGCTGCCACAACTAAACGCCTGTAAAAAAAAATGCATAGGTCTATATCTTAATATCAAAAATAACATTAATTTGAATAGAACTTACAGCATTGATAAAGATTAACTGGAAACTACAAGTAAATATTTTAAATAGGAGCATCTTGTATTAAGCATGCCTTTTTATCAAGTTGTTTATCATTTTGCTTGACATATGACCCAATTGATTGTAAGGGTCATTTATTCACAAAAGGCCAAATATCATAGTTTAACCATTTTCTAATTATTTAATGTAAAATTCCCTATAGTGTGGCTTAATCAACTTTTAAGTTTCAAGGTTTTCAGGCAAAACTTTTTTGAAAAAATATGTATAGAAAAATAAAAATTTAATAACCAAAACTGTCAAATGATACTTTTAATTGTGAAATACATCAAATTTGGTTTAAACCCTACCATTTCCTCCACTTTTAATCTGTGCTCAAACAGCCTCAGCGCTTGAGTCTCGCCTCCTTTCCAATTGTTTATCCTGTCATTTTGCTCCACACACTCTGGCATTACTCCTATTAAAGATCAAATTTAAATACTAATAGAGATAAGACTTAAGAGTTCCAGTTTGAAACACAAAACGCCACTTATATTTTACCAAATGTGACTTACAGCTCTAATCACTTGCATTGAAATGTTCAAGACTCTGATTGATTCAGGATTAAAAGCTAATGTTCAACTTGAAGAAATAGTCTGGGCTACAACAAAGCACATTTTTTATCTAACTTTCAACCTTAATAGAAAATTAAAATTGCAGCTGGTGAAACATAGTGCTATATGTCATGCCCTAGAATGCACTTACAGATTTGTGATCTAAGATATCAACTTGTGTGCAAAATTTCCAATTATTTGTTCACCCTGTTTTTCTAGGAAAATAATTTTTTTTGTGCAAAATAACCCAAATCTAATTTATTGATTTTAACTAAATGACACAAAAAAGATTTTCAATTTGATTCTATTTGTTTTTTTTTATCTGTTGTATATGTAATCTTTAGCAACAGTTGGTCTATATATGTCAAATTTTATGTTTTTAATAGCCTTTTAGACCTTTGGAGGCTCCAAATAAAAGTTGAAAATTGTCACATTAATTTTCCTTCTTTATCTTCATCAGTTTACCTAGTTTCTCCAGCGATGGTATACCAAATTTATCATTATGATTGTCACTCATTGGCATGGTGACCTTGGTGAAGTCTGGATCAGCACAGGTCCGGGGCGGATCCCCGACCATCTTGGCCACTTGATTGAACAGCATGTAAGTCAGGGGAGGACATCCACCATTGTTCTCAATGATACTGTGTAATAGTAATAAATAGTGTTGTTTTTATAACTGGTCTAATTTGAAAAAACTATCGTTAATTTGGACATGCATTACAGGGATGAAAAACTCAACTTGCTGTTCTTAACTTTATTTAAATTAAGAATTTGCACCAAGTTGTTTTTCAGAAACCGATTTTTCAAGAAATATTAAAATTTTGTATTTAGACTTAAATTGATAATTCACAATTGAATGTAAATACTTTTTCTTATCCCCTACTCTATTACAAAAATATTTTGAATCAAATTTAAAAAATTAAATGTGTGCTTCAACTTCATTTAATTTATGATGTCATTACTTTACTTCATATCTGACAGTTTCATTGTTTAAGGGATGACAAATATTACTTATAACTTTGATATTTTTTTCTAAAAAGTAGTGTCTACTAATAGTATTAAAGGCATATGCTAAGGTTATGTAACAAATAGACACAAAGTAGAATGAAAACTACCAAAAAAATATTTATCTAAACTTTGCATGATCTTAGAATATGGGAACAGAAACAGTTTAAGCGAAAAAACAAAACACAACAAAAAAACACTTTTTTGAGTTTTCTGCCCTTACAGGCTTTCTGGTAATGTAGTAAAAATAAAAGCATTTGCTCAAACTTACGCTTTAGGGTCCCAGAGTGTGTGGGAAATTTTCTCTACACAGTCAACATCAGAGTCTTCACACAACTTCTTCACCGCATTGTCTCTTGATGTCCAGACTGGCTCAGGGTCCTGCTCAAATGTCAGTTTTCCCACTGACCACTCCTGTTTATAAACAGTCAATCAATCATCAGTCAAGAAACATTAATTATTGATGTTTGTTTGTAAGTCCTAACTTACTGAAGACTGAATTTTAGTTACAATTTAAACAAACAATCATTGAAGAAACATTAATTATTGATGTTTATTTTGCTGCAAGTCCTAGATTCCTAGATTTTTAAAGATTGAATATTAATTACAACTTTAAACATTTTATTCAGCATAAAAGCCAAACAAATAAAGAAGCGTAACTTACTTTGAAAAGTTTAGACAAAATTTTGATAGGATCTCCATGGAATATGTACAAACGTCCACCATGTTTTTTCAAACTCTCATCTAAATCCTCGAGACTTTCTATCAAAAATCTCATCCTGTTGTAAGCAGCTGTCTTTGTCCCTGGAGAAAGAATAATGTATGTATACATGAACATGTACAAAAATGAGCTGTGTCACGACAAAACCAAGATAATGGGTTTGCGACCAGCATGGATCCAGACCAGCCTGCGCATCCGCGCAGTCTGATCAGGATTCATGCTGTTCGCAATCAGTTCCTCTACTTGTAATAGTGAACAACATGGATCCTTGTCAGACTGCGTGGATGCGCAGGCTGGTCTGAATCCATGCTGATCGCAAACGCACTATGTTAGTTTTGTTGTGACACAGCTCAAATGTAGATAATATCACGGATAAATAGCACAAACTGATGAAATGTTATTATTAAACAGTTTATACAGTGTTATATCAATTATGCAATGAATGGTTCTGTAACAATTTAACAATATCACTTATTTTTCAGTTTTCAAATACAACTGTATTTTTTTTCTTCTGATTATCAATGTCTGTCAGCAGGACGGTTACATACAATTTTCACAAATTTTATACAATTCAACGAAGAAAAATCTAATATTTGATTTTTGTTTTATTTTCTTGCAATCAGTTACTGAATTAAAAAGTAAATTTAAAACAAAGAATTTCATATTGGTCATACAATTACATGTGTTGGAGATAATCAATTTTGATTGTTGCAAGTACATGGACCTGTCAACAAGCAATTGAATGCTCTTCGAAGGTAAAAAAAACCAACAAATATATAAAAAATACCAGCAACTTCGCCATCAAATATGAAGATTGGGTAGAAATCTCCCCCAAATTCTAGAGCTTCAATCAAAGCTGGATTGTCATGAAGTCTAAGGCCATGCCGGAACCAGTGTATTGATGCTGGACGGCCACTGCTTTCAACTGTGGAACTTGCTGGCGGCATGCTTTTTGATGATTCCCCCTGAAAAGTATGAGACATGGTATTTGCTAGTACTTTGCCATAAATATTGTCTACATATTAAAAATTTCTTTTTGTTCTTACTTTTAATAAAAAACCATAAGAAAAAATTAAATACATTAATATACTTCAACCATTTGAAAGACATGTAAGTATACATGTTACAAGCTAGTTTTCCACAAAATAAAATACATGTAGAAATATATATTGTATTTTTAGGAAATCAAAACATAAATTTTGAAATATTACACTTTTAACACCTCTTTTCATCATGCTTGCATTTTGATATACAAGAGTATTGTTATTTTGTTGTTCATACTGTGACGCATGATTTATGAAACTGATTTTTCCATACTGTGAATTTTATGCTGATACACATGTTATTTGGAGCTCTGTTATACAATCTAAATTACCAGTTAAATATATGGGCCGAGTTGATCAGTGTCTGATCTAGTTTGGATAAGCTAGTCCATAGATGACTCCAGGCAAGTTAGTGCGTAAGTGCCTACTTGAGGGGGGAACCATCAACCGGACACTTTTTGAACGTTTTTCCATACATTACATATTGCACAATTTTAAAGATTGATACATGTACCTGGAAATTTTACACAGTGATTGTTACACAGCCAATAGGTGGCATAATAGCTCAGTTGGTTAGACCACTGGCTGTCACTCCTGAGGTCCCTGGTTCGATCCTGGGTAACACCCATGGGATATTTCACAAACACTTTCAGTGTTAACTGTGTTTCTCACCTAACTAGAGGTGTACTGGTAAATTAAAATATCGAGCTAATCCTCGCATGTATCAGTGTAATAAACTGGGCATGTAAGAGATCAAAGCGGTCCATTCAATAAGAGCTAGGGTCTGGTTCTCGGATTCCCTTGTATCTCAAAGCTTTCTCTGAATGTCAGACGTTTCACTCCCAAGACATTTCACTATTGAGACGTTTCACTCCCAAGACGGTTCACACCTAGATGTTTCACTCCCATTTTGTCAATTGTATGGACGTTTCACTCCCAATTTTTAGAGATGTTTACTAGGATTTTTTGTAAGTCTTAAACAATGAAATGCGAAACATGTGTATAAAATAAATTATTTTTTAAAATTATTTTCTTCATCAATTTATTAAACAGTAGGTGTTATCTCATTAGTTGTGTAAACACTAAGACAATCAACTAACAGTTTGACACCACTATCAGTTGTATAAACACTGCACTTAAGCATCAACATTCTGCTAATCAGTTGTTTATTGGACCATTAAAATATTTTTGACAACAGTTAATTTAAACACAGAAACTTCTCCATAAGTTTTGTTTATATAATAATAAATTTTAGTCACAAAAAAATGATTATGCATGACAAATATTGAAAAAATCCCATTGCATTTAATATAATTTAAAAATATTTCTGATTTCAATGGCTATTAAAATTTTTGACATATAATAAATTATATTGCAAAAGCACTATACTAGCATTAAATAATTTAACAATTTTTTATCCCATGTTTAAAATTAACAACAAAAAAACAGGTTACTCAAAGTTAATTGTTGTCACAAGATTGTTATGCTTTAAATTAAAATTGCCTATTGAGTCCATGCACGGATGTATATTACATAAATCCGTGGTCCATGTTTACAAAAGATCAAATAGTTAGTTATATTAAAGTGTTATTTTAATCAAAAATTTTTTTTATTTAAGTGAAATAATGTGATAATTGCACATATGGATCAAAGAATAGAAAAACACCTTAAACAATAAAGTAGATAAGATAACTGAAAATTCAAATGATAGAAATTAAAGTACTGAGTTTGAAGTCATTGACAAAAAGTGAAATCCCCTTTTATTAGTCCCCTACCGGTTTACCGGAGGGGACTTTAGGTTTACCCTCCGTCCGTCTGTCCGTCAGTCCGTCTGTCAGTCCGTCCGTCCACAAAACTGGATCCCGTGATAACACAAAAAGTACTGAAAATATTTTAATGAAACTTGGTATATGGATAGATGGCAGTATGGAGATTATGCACGTCTTTTTTTTTCTTCCTATGTTGAAAATTCTGGTTGCTATGGCAACAAATAGACTGAAAATATGGCAAATTTTACACATAACCTGGATCCCGCAATAACGCAAAAAGTACTGAAAATTTTTTTATGAAACTTGATATATGGATAGATGGCAGTATGGAGATTATGCACGTCTTTTTCTTTTTTTCCTATGCTGAAAATTCTGGTTGCTATGGCAACAAATAGACTGAAAATATGGCAGATTTTACACATAACCTGGATCCAGTGATAACGCAAAAAGTATTGAAAATATTTTTATGAAACTTGACATATGGGTAGATGGCAGTATGGAAATTATGCACATCCTTTTCTTATCTTCCTGTGTTGAAAATTCTGGTTGCTATGGCAACAAATAGACTGAATTTCAAGATTTCTTATTCTAGTTTTTAAGTTTTTTCACTATAAGTTCTTTATTTCTTAAGGTATTTTCTTCAAACTTTAAAAATAAGTTGCTAGTCATCAACCACATCATATGTGACATTGTTTACAACTCTAGCACAAAATTTATCAGAATTACCTCCCTTGAACTTAAAATTTTCATGAAAAAAAAACATTGTTTTTTTTAATAACTTTTTTTTTTCTGAACGTATCTACTTCAAACTTCATATAAATGTTTCTTATTATCACTCAACATTTGTGAGTGTTGCAAGACTATTTCCAGAATTATGCCATTTTTGAACTTAGACTTTTTTTTGAGAAATTGGTAATTTTTACTCCAACTTCTTCAATCATGATAGAATTTTCTTCAAACTCCCACATCATTATAATATGACAAGGTTTATAAATCTAGCATCCATATTTCCAGAATTATCTCCTCCTTAAACTTTTAATTTTTCCTATTTGTTCTTTTAACTTTCATTTACTTCAATTTCAAAATAAATATTCAATATTCATACCTTCATTACTAATTGTTCTTTGTTACAATCACATCATGTATGACATCGTTATCTCCTTTTTTTTAAATTTTGCTTTTAAAATGTTATATTTTGATAACAGGGATGTTTAAAAAATAACTTTAGACTGTCCTTCAGTCCGTCTGTCTGTCTGTTCACTGTGATCACTTTTAAAGAACTTTTTCAACAAATTTACTTAAAATAGAAACATAAGTGAATGGCCCTTCAGAATGTTGCTTGGGCTCTTACCGGTAGGGGACTTATGGATTGCTTGCAATACTATGATAATTGCTTGTTTTTATTAAATTTAAGTCAATTCAATTCAATTCAAAATTTTAGGTCTATTTTAGTATATCATAAGTATCAAAATAATTTTGGTATAAGTAAGGGAGTGAAACGTCTTCAAGACGTTTCACTACCATCTGGGAGTGAAACGTCTTGGTGTGAACCGTCTTGGTGTGAACCGTCTCAATAGTGAAACGTCTGTCTACCGCTTTCTCTGAGTCTGAAGATGAAGCCTAGAGGGGTTTGACTTTAATAGAAGATTAATCCTCGCATGATAGATAGTAAAATTACTATAAATTGCTCAACTCCTTTCACATCTTAAAGAAACATACCATTTCATTTGTTGATTTCCTGGTAATAGATCCAGATTACGTATAATTTACAGCATAAATTTTTATTTAAGATTTCTCAGGTAAATGACCTGGCGGCCTTTTTCATACATATGCGATATTTGCAGACTTTAGATCGGATAATTTCGTTGAAGAAAACTTTATTCAACAATACTCATGACTCAAACGTTTTGATTAGAGCCACATTTTCACGTAAATATTGATTTTTTTCTTTTAAAAAACAACACTTTTCACCGGAAGTAAATAACCACATTGCTAAATTCTGTATCGACACCGTACCAATTTTTACGTAATGTAACGATTCGCCCCTTAACAGTTCGTCCCAAATCCATTCACATCACTTTACATTAACATTTTGTATACATTTTGATAAAGAATCGGTTTCAGTGACATTATAATTACTTATCTTATTTGTTTATTCTTTTTAATTTTTTTTAACTTTCAGTGTCATGTTTTTTTAATAAATTGAATTGATGTCATTATTTAATAACTTATACACCAATGACTACAAAGCTTCAATTCTGCCAGTTTACAATCACAGCCGCTTTTTAATCATCCATAGAAATGCTTTACTTACGGCCCTATTTTTATGTAACCAAACTGCAAGCTAATATTATGTTTACCTTGACTGCATTAAACGCCAACAATGTCAATTACACATGGACTCGACACAGGGTTGGGATACTGTAAAAAGTAATTCTAGAAAATATATATTATATATAATATATACTGGTCGGAGAGATAACTCAGACGCATAGATAACCCCGACACTTCATAAATATAATTGTTATAACTTTGTTTTTCAACAAATAAGCATATGTTCATATAGGACAGAATGTGATGACTTTTTGAAAGTTGGTAAACTTTTTAATATTTTTCAAATAACCTAATTTTTTTTGTTGCAAAAACTGCTTCAAAATGGAGTTATCTCTCCAACCAGTAGACTATATATTATATATACATTTTTTTTCTAGAATTACTTTTTACCCTATCCCAACACTGTGTCGAGTCCCTGTAGTCAATTATAGAGATAAAAGGGCAAAATATAAATATTTTAGTCCAAAATAAGTAAAATATACGTTTCTCACTAATCCTTAATTTTCTGAATTAAATTTTTGTAAAAAGATTTGATTTACGGACTCATTTTTTGTCAGTCTGCAAAAATGTATATTATTCCAGGGTACTTTTGTAATAATGTATACTGTACTACAAAAGCTTCGCTTTATATATGTACATGCATATATTTTACTGTACAATATTTGATTGGAAACTGACAAGGTCAGTAAAGTTAAAGCGTCTAAATCTTAGAAAGCTGTCACAAGTAGGGGTCTATTAGAAAGACCTAAAAATCACAAGAACATGTTTTTTATCTGTTATGCAAATTGAGATGTACATCTATGCTCCTATATTGTGACAGCTTAACTACTGCAAATAAATATCAAAATTGAAAAATGAACTTATTAATAAGTTAAAATTGATTATTACCAATTATCTGAAGTTGATTTATTCAATTTTCTTCAAAATACATAACTGGTCATATTTAAACATTGTATGAAATTTTATGTGGTAATGTACATGTATATATTTTGTTAACTGATTCTGGGACATAAGATAATTTTATGTCCCAGACTGATTGAAAAGTGGCTGTGAAATTTTGAAAAACAGAAAAACAGAAAAAAAGTTAGTAATGGTTTGGCTATGATGAATATGAATACCTCAGGTAAATTTTCAAAAAGTTGTTGCATTTATAAGCTGGAATGATGAGATAAAGAGAAAAATAATTTTAATAATTTCACTGTCAGTTATTGCTGAAATATCTGGGACAAAGTTATTGTGTGTCTAAGATTAAATTAATCAACTATTCGTTACTAAAATCAGATTGTTATATATAGTTGACAATTGTATTTTGTAGTAATTCTTTAAACTAACAAATATTACGGCATTTTCTTAATCAAGAACATAATATTTATGAAGTACACTTTAATCGATTATTTTGAAGCGGAGCGAATCGTCACTGGGACAGATACCTAATGTAAAGTCCCTTTTTAGACCGGTTTCGCGCGCTTAATCGATGAGCATTGCTTCGGATTTTGGTATTTTTGATTCCTGATATTTAATCTGTTTTAGTTGGGTGGTTCTACTTGAATATTGTACAATCACCCTAAAGATATGTTGCCTGCTTTTTAAATCATACATGTGATATGCATGCTTCATAACCTCTGATCCCCTTTCAAAATTTCACTTTATTTAGTTCCGCCCTTTGTTTTCTCATTTTGGGCACACTCATTCATTTACTTGTGAACCACAATCCGCCACTAATAGAGTGGCACGACGTGTCACATTGAAGGTTCCATGACCACCGCCGAATAAACACATCTACATATGTTTCTAAATTAAACATTTTCTCCATTACATGCTTAAATGTTTAATACTACTTAAGCCGGTGGTAGGGTGCGTGGATGGTATAGCCTGCAAATTTTTTTACCGTCCAAGAACAGGCTTAATCGAGCCGAGCCTACAACGATTTCATTTTTCCATTTTGGGCGTTTTTAAGGGATTCTGTTTACCGGTACCTCTGTTTCATTAAATGTTTTAAGTTAAATATATTCATTTTAATATGAGTCTATAGCGAGTTTATCGATTGCTCTAGAGTCTATTTTCTGTACTTATACTAGCTTTACGACTTAAGCTATGTTTTGAGAGACAGGCGCCTTATTACTACAATGTATAGGACATTGCCCTTTGTACAAATAAAATATATTAGGAAATTCATAAAGATAGCACCCACTTAATCATCATTATCGTCGTCATCATCATCATCATCATCATCATCATCATCATCATCAGTGTATAATTTCTATGGAGCATTTGTTGCATTAGATTTATTTAAAACACGTAAAACTGGTTTTTAAACAGGGTTTTTAAAAAAATCGTTATTTTAGAAAGAAATATTAAGGAAACAATATTGACTTTAAATCAGGAATGAGCAAAGTTTGAATACATAACATTACTACTAACTTTGGACGGAGAAATAGACAGAAGAAAAATGTGAAAATGTACAATGTTATTACCGACTTGTTGATTATAATCAGTGTGACGTTGTAGAGGCGTAAGGTTTCAGAGTTTGAATAGATCACACACGCAAATAGACGAAACCTTCGTAAATTTTCAAAAAACCACCCCATGTGAGGTCAAAAATGATTACTTCCAGTACGTTAATGACTTAATAATTCTTTGACCAAATTCTGAAATATTTGATTAACATCAACAATAATAGTAACTCTTATCAAATTTGTAAGATTTTCACAGACTGCATTAGCTTAAGGAGTATCTACCAGTACTCTAACATGTCGAAACCAATTTGTCTTACTTCTATTTGACAGATATCTTTGTAAGACAGTGACTTGCGGTTACCACCTTTTAGAAAAGGACAGCCAATATCAAGCGTCGTACCAGGTTAGATTCTACACTTTGAGTTCGAATGTAATCCGCTATATACACTATGGTATGAGGAAAATCATCAATTAACAGTGACGGCATTTAAACGGTATTTCACGGACATATCTGGAAACGGAATCAAGTACGGCTTGCGTGCTAATCGGGTAGACCTCCCATATGTGCGTGCGGTAATTTTACAATAATTTTAATGTCGATCATTATTATGAATGACTTATAGATCCCAATCTGAGGCTTTAATTAGGATCCTCTATCGGCGGTTTACCATAATTTTCAGCAATGAAAAGAGATCGGTTGTGAAAATGATTTACTAGGTCTTATAATTTGGTTTTCGTTTAATCTCTTTTGTGTTATATAGCATGTCTTTTTTGTGTTTAAAATGCGCCTATAACCGTCTTATTAACCACAGAATAATGGAAGAGCGATAGAAAATTAGTCCTCTATTTCTATCAGATTATAGCTCGTTGAAAATATTTCTGTTATTTACATTATAAAGCATTAGAATCGAAAAAAAATCGTAATATTTATCAAAGAACGTTTATATCTTAAGCATTAATTATGATCTGATATTTAGCCCTTCAGTGGAAGAAAAAACACTCAATTTCCCTAGAGTACCTTCAAACGTATAAATGCCGTCTCGTGCACTTGAAATAATAGATTACGGTTAACATTCTGACTTTTTTGACATATACCCATCTTTCATACATAAAATAGATTCTGACGTAATTCAATCAAAGCAGTCGATTCTTCAGATGTATGGCGGGTCTTTGATCTTGTTCAAAACATTTCTAAAATATCAACACTATCGGCCGTCTAAGTGACTAGGAATCCGGCAAGTGTCATGAACAGTGCTTGCCAAAGGCACTAAAGTAATTCCTTTGATGTTGAAAAAGTTTAATTTCACATTCGCATTTTCACCGTCTCGGGTCTAGGTGTTACACCACTAAAACAGCGTAAAATCGTTCCGTGTTAGAGGGAGTACAATCAAATATAATTGCGGAATTTCGCGGAACTATTTCAATCAATTACCGCGCTGGAAATACAGTAAGATAAAGGGTTACATTAAGGTGTCTGAGAATTTCAAATACCCCAAACATCTTCTTCGGGGAAACGAACAGGACTTTTAAGATTGAAGAAATAAAAAAAAGTATGTTAAAATATGACATTCTCATCTAGGCCAAAATAAGACATGTAATTCTTCCTTCTTTTCAGCTTTACACACATTACACTAACTAATATACATAATATCATATGGTATAATAATGTGAATTTAATATATGTATTTTTTAAACAATTAAACATCGTTTTTCAGGAAAAGGCGTATTAAACACAAAACAAAAATGTATGATGAGTTTGTATAAAATCACTTATTTGTTGTCCCATTTCAAATTATTTAAAATAAAATCTTGTTAGTTTTCTAATTGGAAATGGTCATTAAAATATCTATAAACTGTCTATGGAAATTTTCATAAAATGTTGTGTGTTTTTTTACATTTCTTTTTTAATATTACCAGCTCAGTTATATAAAAGATACACACGTACAATTTATATCTTCCCCATATTTTTTCTTGTAACATTTGTTGAAATGAATGATACACCTAATTTAACAGAAAAGCCACTACAATAGTAGAAACTAAACCATATCTCATTTACAGAACTCATTTTTGATTGATGTAATTCTTCAAATAACAATATTGGTACCCTGGATAGGATCGTAGACGCCGCTAATTGGGCACCATGAAGTGCATGTTTAGCTACTGTTATTTTTCCTATATGTGTGGTATGGTGTAGGA